GTAAGTCAAATACCCAGCTGTGAAAGGAACTGAGCAAGATGAGCCAACATTACAGCTATAACTTGCAAAACCTCATTACAACAACTGCAAGCCTGCAACCCAGCCCCTGTGCAGAACCCTGTGAAGACATCATTTCACACTTGGAACTATGCCCATTGCTTCCCTTCCTTAAGCTCCTCAAATCAAACAAGTGCCTTTTCACAGGCTGAAGATTTCCTCATGAGATTTGTAATGTTTAATCTGAACTTAGCCTGCTCTTCTGTGTATCAGAACTCATTCCTTTTCACCAAGCTAGCCATATATGAAGAACAATACCTTATGTTTTATTAAATTGTTTCTTCCATAAAGCTGTATTGTCTTGGTTGGTACAGTTTGATCTCCTGTTAAGCTACTATTAAACTGTGTGTCCAAATTTCCATTTGAATTTGTCTGTCTCTCATTGGTTTTTCTTCTGCCTTTCTTCTTTAGATAAATGTCTAGCATTTTCTGCTGCCTTGAGATATTTATACACTTCAATCAATCTATTTTTTTACTCTTCTTTTTTGATAAACTAAGCTCTAAAAGTCTCTTACTTGAAGCAAATTTCCCTAACTCTCAGGTCATGGTTTAGTGGCATTGCTCAGTACCTTTCCAAATGCTTTAATGTCCTTTTAAAACTCGGACATGGAATTTGATGCAACATCCCAGAACTGTTCTCATTAATATCGTATAAAATAATAAGTGACCTTCATGCTTCTACTCACTCTTTCAATCTTTCCACACCACTGGATAACACAGTAGTGCAGTGAGAACTTTACCACAACTGTGCTGAGTTGTTTGAGGAATTCTGAATCCTTCTTCACTGCTTTCTCCAACTCTGCCCACATTCACAGGTCATACATTTCTTAATATCCTTCCTCTAATTGTTTTAAACCCTTCTACTTAAATGGACTGACTTTAGGAAAGAGTTTGTTTTCTTCATATCATCAGAATTTATGTCTCTGTCAATTCATTTTGCATTTCTTAGTTTTAAACCATCAATTGCTTTGCATTTTCTTTACAGATTATAGATGGCATTGGTGAACACCATTCTTTCTTTCATTTAGCTTTCTTCACTAAATTTAGGATGTGGTAGCTGATCAAGAGAAGCTGCATCTTGTCTGTGTCAGGCTGCTTCTTACTCTCTAACATTTATATCCCACTTGAAATATCTTCAGCTTGACCTAATAGTTTCTGATTCAAATATGACCTTTTGAAAGCAAAGCATTTAGGATAGTTTCCTATCTCAGTGATTGAAATTCCAACTTGACAGGCTTCAAGGAATTGGTGCAAAGCTCATCTGTCCTCAGATTTAGGTGAAAAAAAAGTTAATGGACAGAATAGACCACAGGCAGGAGTAATAATAGTCCTTGTGATTCTAATTTTCTGACCTTGTCTGGTTTTGTGTGACAGCTTATTTCAAACTAAAATTTTTACCCTAAGTTTTGATGGTGTAAATTTGTCTGGTCACAAATCAGTTTTTAATGATTCTTTTGATATTTTCAATTTTTTTCTTGATTCTTTTCCACAACTTCAGTTATCAAATTTCTTTTCAATTGTTTTTGAAGGCTTAGTTTACATTTTAAAGATGTTTGGGATACATCCAGGAAACTGAAGTCAAGTACTGTTCTATCTGAAACTGGAAAATGGTATAAATCCTTACAACTGTTAGTAATATTTGCCAATAATTCCTGTTCCTCTTCTCACAGGAACAACTCAGAATCACTACCAGGGAGAATATCTTGTTGGTAAATTTTCTTCATAAAATATGAACAGAAGACTGTGAGGTTATAATCTCCCTCCAATAAAAGACTTCAGCAAAGTGAAGCTTCTACCTCTGAAAAGAGTGTACACCTTTCTTTCTCAGCAACTTAAAGTCACATAATGACTTTATACTAAACACAAGGCCGTTGTACCTTGCTGATATTAAAATTCTTGCTGATATTAAATTCCTATAATTCTGCCTGTTAGAAAATGCATGTACAAATTCTTTAAAGACCTGTGACAGGTCAGAATGAATTCCCTCTGGAGGCACGCAAAGCCATTCCTTATGCAATAGTTGTGTATCAAGGACAAAGCTATGTGCATTATTAACACTAAAAGAAGCTCAATTCTTAGTTCATGGAAGGAGTTTACCCTCCTTTAACCCCTTAGCCAGAGGCCTAGCTTTCACAGGCAGTGTGCAATAAAAATGAAGAGCCCTTACCATGCAGAATAAATTTTTATATTCATCTTGAAACAGAGAATCCCTTTTTAAAATCCACTGCTTTACTCGGGTTTTACTACATTACCAAGTCTAGCTCCTTTATTAAGAAGATGAATATTCCACAAGTCAGCTTAGATTGATGAAAGTTTTGTTTGTCCAATAGTATTCATGAAATACATATTTACAATAAAAGTTAAATCAAAAGGGCAGAATTCTACAGAACTCAACCAGCTGTTACTCATTACACCCCAAGCTTAGTAAAAGGGAAAACATTCCTTGAAGAAATATTTAGTTACAAATTACAGCTGACTTTTGTTTATTCAAAAGTTGTATCTTTTCATAATCAGGCATTAAATTATACAAGATATTCTGAGATTTAAAATTGACTAATAAAAGCAAATATTAATGATGCCATCATATGAAAAGGTAAATTTCACTTTGATAAAATCCATTGTTACAGCAATTATTATTTTTCCCAGTCAGCATTAGTTACCTAAGTACTTTATTCCAAAAATAAAAAAAGCAAGAACTACAACGAGGAAAGATTTACAAAAAGTTCAGTGAAGTAAAAAAAGAGCAAAGAAATCTTCCTTTCCAGAAAATGAAATTCAAGCTAACAATGGGCCTTTCTATATTTGTGTTCAGGACAATTTATGTATATTAAGAATAAAAATATAGGATTGTATATCCTGTAGTATAGAAATTTTATATACCTACGGACTATATATATATATATATATATATTCCTTATAGAAGACTACTAGAAAGAAATCCAAGTGTTTAAGTGTATGTACTAAGTGTATACTCACAGTAACTTGATTCTCCCCCTTCTAAGTTGATAATACCTAGCAAAAAGTAATCTGACTCTTGTATTTATTTGCTTTATAGACATTAGTGATGTTTTACAGAAACTTTCATCACTACAGGTTGTAATAATGTGATAAATCAGATCAATTCAGAATGATTGATAATGGAAATTATGTCAATAGGATAATTTCAAACTGAACTGTAAAAAGAAAATGTTGAATACTTTTCAGAAACAGAAATACATTCTGCAGCTATGGGAACAAATAAAGAGCTAGGTTAGCTATTGAAGGAGAGTAAAGAAACATTTTTTACTGAAAGAGATACCAAAATATTCAAAACAATTTAGAAATACCCAACAATTTAACAATTTATGAACAATTTAAGAACATACAAATCAACTTACACATTGAATAGAATAAACACTAGCTAAGCAAATAAACTAGAGGGTAAGATTTAATTTTCTGATTTAATATTGCAACTAAAATACTTAATTGCCATTTTTAATTAAAATATGAGCCAACTATAGCAGGCTGCTATGTTCATGTTCTATGTGTGCTCAAATTTGTAACTATAAAGGACTAATAAGAATTCTTTTTTTATTTAATATAATAAATCCAAATTTCAAATTTGAAGATAAAATTTTAGCAGACCTTCTGAATGGAAGTTTCTATAAAGCTGTAACTTTTAACATCCTGAGTAAAAGAGTCTAGAATATAAAGAAATTACATTCTCTGTCTGTGCTCCACATGGCCTCTACATACATACATACCTGTATGGAATTTTTCTATTTTGATATTCCATCCATTGTTAAGAAACAAAGCTTAGCATATGTTTTTTATGAGTCAGAAAATTCCTAGAATCTTAACATTACTTCCTGTGTTTACATCTAAACAAAAGCATATTTAAGTAGTTCTAAAAGAGTGAATTGATATGGAGACAATGATTTGGGAAAGTAAAAGAGATTTAAGTCCTTCTGTAACAGACTTTTGACTTGAATTCAGCACAAACATGCAAAGCTCTTTATCTTATTTGAGACTCCAAAAGCCACAAATGGTTTCAATTGCACCGTGTATCACAATGTTATTCAAAATTAATGTATTTTCTGACTGTTTTATTTTTTCAGTGTGTTAGACAGCACTCAAGTGTTCCACTAAACAAAGACTTTTCTTTTGGGTCCCATGGGTGATCACAGTGCCACTACTCTGCTCTCTTAGCATGTGCAGAACACACTTTAGAATGTCAGTGGGAGTTTTGCATGTATATGAAGAGGAAGCTATAGCAGATGGAATTTCTCATGTCACACTGAGAAGAAAAGCTTGTCCTAAAATAGTTTCTTCAGTAAGTTCTTAGGGTTTGGGGTTTTTTTTTTGGTATTTTTTACCCACTGTAGCAGTAACTTTTGTTTTAAAAGAAAATGAAACTCTAGGACAATGTTAAAGAGTACCACCTGCCAAGAGACTGACCTGTTTTATTATGATTACACATCAACATAAAACTATGATGATAGTAGTACTATTCTAATCAAGATCCTTAGTATTTTTTTTTTTTTTTCTGATCCAGGCTTCTATAACAGTACACACAGTTAAAATAGATCAGTCTCAGAATAGACTGCAAAATACGACATTCCACATACACAGCTACTCCTGTAGATGATGTTATTTAACTCTGTGATAATGATATTGATTACTGCTGACTGAAAGTGATATTAATCTTCAGAAGTTCTGAGGAGGAAGTAACCAGTAACTGTGCAGCATAGCAGAATAAGATTTATGTATTAAATGACAGATATAGAAGGAATTTACTGTTTCAATTTCTTTGCTACTACTATTTTTGAAGCATTAACCAACTTGAAAAACTGTCTTAGCTTTCCTGTTTTCCTGTTCCTACAAAAATGAACTATGATTGACTAAATAAAATCAAAGTTTCGTTAGCAAAACTTCTAACAAATTTTTGTTTGTTTTTCCTTGCTTTTAGCTTGGTAGCCACGAAGGAAACAGACAGTGCAAGATCTCGTAGCATGCCAATGTCGCCCTCCGATTTCCTGGATAAGCTAATGGGTAGGATGTCAGGCTATGATGCGAGGATCAGACCAAATTTCAAAGGTAATTTTAAAACTAAACTTCCAGGTTTTCAGTATGTCAGTATTACTGCTCACAAAAATGCAATTTCTGAAAGAAATACGAAAACTAAGATGTACATTCACTAAAAAGAAAAAAAGAGATGCCTTCTTTTGCCTTTCTTTTGTATGCATGGCAGTTCATTTCAGCAGCAATACACTCTACACCTGCCACTTTCACAGCTGCCCAATTGCAGGCCTTTCATAAATACACCTTATCCTTAGATATGAGTTGTCTAATAAGGTTTGCTGGTTTCTTTCCTTTCCTGAAATGCTTACTGATGGATTCAGATTCCCGCCTTGGACTGCCATAGCATGAAACACTATGGACAGCAAGTTCTGTGAAAGATTGTCCAAATCTTCTTATCTGTCTGGTTCTAAAGAGTGTGTTAATGACATCAACCATCAAATTCAGGGCAGCTTATCTTAGTTACCAATTCTACCACCAAATTATATTCCTCACTCCTGGGCCCCATTAGTGCCTTGAAATGCCAAAAGGATCATCTTTCATCCTGTTCTTTTCCCTGTTCCCAGTTTTCCACAGAAATTCCAAGTTCTCAATATACAGAATTTTGTCTCGCCATGTGCCTTTTACGCACTTATCACAAAGGAGATTCAATTAAAACAAAGCAGGTTCAAAGACTGAAACAGCAAAGTTTGCAAATGTAATGACTGTGTCTCCTGAGGATCTTAGCATATTATCCAGACTCAGGCACATTAGAGTATTTAATGAAGGATTATGCAAAACATATTTTTAATATGAACATGCAAAGTATCATACAGACAAACACCATCCATTCTAACTTTTGTAGTCTGGAAAGTTTAGGTAAATTTGACTATTCTTTCTTTTTAAAACAAGGAGTTCCAATGTGATAGTGGAACCATATTTAACTCTATTACTGAATTTTTAAACATCTTTAAATTACCCAGAATATACATAATGTTTTGAAAGAATAAACCGATTGTGATTAAAAATTATATCATTCTTACTTTGCCTTAGTTGCTTTCTCCTATGCCTATCTTCCTGAGTCCAAGAGATTCTCTTAGCTCTAACATTTCACTATAAGTCTTTACTCCATGCTTACTACAAAAATTTTCCTTCAAGCTGGCAGTGCTTTCTCCTCTAAGTCATCTGTCACTGCCTTTCCATCTTAATTCTTATTCAGCAAGAAATGTTATAATTTTTTGACATCTCCAAGTTTCAGAAACTTAAGTGGTTTTGACTCTAAAGCCACTGCTATGTGCTGGTTTTACCAGAATTTGCCCAGTCTGATTCATAAGGACCATGTAAGAGATTTGTCAGATTACTTCCTCATCAGCAAACCATAAACACTCGGTTGTGTATATATAAACTTATTACCCAGGGTTTACTGCAGCTGGAAATGCTTTGCTCTTTTTAAGTTAGCGATGCTGATATTTCTCAGGAAATTATAAACGTGCATTGGAATTTCCAACACATCTCTATATGATTTGGGGTTTGAATTTTATAGTTTGTCATGGACAGCATCCAATCACAATCTTCTGCTGAGGCAACAGTGAAGAACAGGCAGATGGTTTAGAGATTGCAAAACTAAATTCAGTACTTCTTGAAAGTATAATTCAAAGGATTTAGGGCCTTGTTTTGTAACTATTGAAACTTAAAGAGACAAAACCTAATTTGACGTTGTTCCTTTTCAAAAAGTGCACATTCTAAATCTTCTGGACAGCTATGCAGCTTGAACAGATCTGCCCAGAATGATTCAGACCTACCACTAAGAATAAGTATCTCCTTAAGTGACTTTGCCACTTTTTGGTTACTTTTATTACTCCTACAACAAGTGCTGGGGCTTAATGCCTTTTTGAGGTTTTAAACTGGTTATAGTTTTAAAGAAAGAGGATCAGGACTAATAAGATAACTCAGATATTAATTTAAATAATTCTTTTTGTTCCAGTAAAATTTCTATGCAGGCAATATTTTTAATGACCAATTTTATTTATAATTAATCTTGGTCAAAAAGTCAAAATTATATATTCTGTCTATGTGTTCTGCTTTTGGATATTGAATCTGCATATGAATTCTTGTTCAAAAAAATATAATAGAGAATACATGGTATTTATTCAGCTATGAAATACAACAGGAAATTAAAAATTATTGTAAAAGCTTTGTTCCAGTTGCAATTTTTTTTTTAATGTTATAGATTAATGTTATATTTTTAATGTTATATAGCAAGGTGCTTTTACTCAGTGTCCACATTGCAGACAATATCCATTCCTGCAAATATGCAAAATACTTTGTTGTCTTTCAAATTTGAACACAATTATGTAACCTAGGTATAAAAACTTTAAATATTAAAGTAAAAATTTGGGCATTTATATAGGAAAATGTAAAGTGTTACTCGCCCTGCTATTGGCAAGCATTTTTCAGCAATCATTAGTTTAGAAGCTTTGAAAGCCAGGACTTAATTGAAAAAAAATTAGTTTAGTAACATATGTTCTTCTCGTCTCTTCCAGAAGCTGTTCATATTTTTGGTCTTTTCATTATTTTTTGGCAAAACCTTTGTGTTTTGGAATATTAAAAAGTATAATTTTGTTTCCTTTAAATTTGTTGATTATTTTACTGATTTTATTGCCAAGTGACGTGGAGAAGTATTACTTCTGTTTGATCTTTACAAATATGTATATTTGCAGATTACTACCTACTGTGTACCTTTTCCACTGTGAAGGGTCCTCTTCCACTTCAGCTGTGTGGCAACTTTTTATAGAATTTTTAATCCTTTTTGACTTTTTGATGTTTTTCTCCCTAGTATATAGATATATTAATCTATGAAATATATTTATATATAATATTAATATCTATCTCTTAATTATAAAAGTTCTCTTTATTTCTGTCAGTTTGGCTGGCACAGAGGTAAGGTTTGCAGGGATATAGTTCATATTCGTGTCCCCACCATCATACCTGAAATCTGTGGGGTTTTTTTAATTCAAGTTATACTGGATGGACATGGTACATATTTCCACTGATTACAAAATTGACACAGGTGATAGCTCACTCACAGTGAATTGTATTTCCACAATTCTGAAAAGATTTTTACAATGTCCGAGTTTATATCACCTCAGCCAGTCAGTTTGCTCCTGTTCACTTGGTCTGAAATGTCTTCTACCGTCCTCATACAAAATTCCAGCAGAATGGCTCCAGTATTTGACACAGCCGGCAATTGGAGACAAATGCTGCTACAAAGACTTCATTTGGTTTTTCTACTCTGACCTTCTTCACTTCCATGGATACTTTTATACCTTAATCATCTTCTTTCAGCTTTCAGATCTTGGCAGGATTCTATTTTTAACGCCTTGTAGATAGCGATCATTGTTAGCTTTTCTGTCTCTAGTGAGTTTTAGCTCTATTTCTTTTCTGCCTCTCTTTAATCTATGTTCAGCTTGCCTGAATTCCTGTGTTCCAATATGACTTCCAGCTTTTACAGCTTCTCATTCGTGATTCTTTTTGACCATGTTTTGGGAAGTTCATTTTTACTCTCAGCACAGTGTCTTTGAGTTAACTCTAAAACATTTGCAGGCTACTTTTAGCTTCTACTTTTGTGCTCCTTTTAACTAGCTATTAACTATTTTACTGTAATTTGAAATTAGGCATCAGCACTGGAGTGACTTAGAGCTTTTTCTTAATAAACACAACTATGTTGATAAAGCAAACTTCTATTTCAAAGTATAGTACTATTTTAAGCAAGATAGCATCACATCAAATTTGAAAGGATGGCAGGTACTACAACGTGGAAGTGTTTGAAAGAAAAGCTGCCTTGCAAACAAATGACTAACGGGAAAGAGGAACAATTCTCTCCCTGGCAGTTTTTAGACACTCTGCCATCCCTGCTTTTCCTTTTCCCCTTGATCCTTTTCAGGAGTTGAGCATGTAAAGCTTTTACTGAATTCTCAGTACAGGATATACTCAACAACTCTAAATAATTAACTGTGTACCAAAGCGACTGCAAGTGCTACCTCCTTACCTGAGAATTCTGCTCCATAGGTGTAGTCTCGGGTATTGCCAAGACTGAAGTACGTGTAGAAGTGGTTTGTTAGAATTGCTGCACTAAACAATTTTTGCTGTCAGGAAAGAAAACTGGGTGTTCCAAGTTCTGTCATATTGGCAGAATTTTTAATGGACATTCTGATTCTTCAGTTATTTAATGTGAAATTTATTGGCTATGTTAGATTTTGCTAGTTGCAAGTCACCAGTAGTGGCAGAGCAGTTTCTTTCTACAGTGATACTAAAAAAGAGATGTTACATAAAGGTCTATAAGATCAGTCTTCATATTCCAGATATAGATCTCTCATCATTAGGCTGTTTACAACTACAAAAACAATCCAGGTTACAGTGCTAAACTGGCTTATTGAGATAAGAATATTGAGTTGTAGGAAGGTAACAAAAAAACTTGAGATGGAGAAACCTTGTTTCTATTGGACACAGATTGAAATTGATAAAGAATAATGGAAAAATTAGCATGGTTTTCCATAATGACATTTTTAAAGAGACTTCTAGAAAATAATTTAAACCCTTTTCCATTTAGAGGCAATTAATTGTTCAGTTATCATAATGACTCCTCTGCCACTACTGATACTTCAAAATGCAAGATAAGACAAAACAACAGTTGACTGAGACCCATGGTAACAAAGGATTCAGTTTTAAATGGATTCCTAAACATTTTTTTAATTTAAGAGAAATGGGAATAGAATCTAAATGACTTTGTAAGCACTAGAGATAAGAGCAGCAATAATCTATTTATTTTGCCAGTGATGACAGATAACATTGAAAGTAGAAACTGCCTTGAGTGAAGAAAGTAATTTTTCCCCATAATTGTTGTGAGAAGTAACACACATTCTCACTGACATACACACAAAATATTTTTACTATATATTTTAAATGGGATGTTGTTTTATTTTTCCTTTTTATATAGAAGAATGTGTGCAGGTTTATACTGAACTTTGTTGCTGTTTGCTATGGGTTTTTTAATTGCTAAACTTTGCCAGATAAGTAGTGTGCCTTTGAGAAAAATCAAAAAGAAAATTATTAGAAACAATTAAATTTAATCATGCATTAAATTATTTGTGAATGCAGCATAATTTCTTCCAAAGTCAGTAAATACTGTTCTTTAATGGTTTATATTGAATAATCAATCAATAAGCAATAATTCTGGAACAGGGACTAGTGGGTTTTTTTTCCCTCTTTTGCAGGTCCTCCAGTTAATGTCACATGCAACATATTTATAAACAGCTTTGGATCCATTGCAGAGACAACCATGGTAAGATATTTTAACTCACTCTATGTTTGAAGTTAAATATGTTCCATAAGCTCTAAAGCTAGCTTCTCTTCACCTGGAACTAAGCAAAAAAGGAAATCCACTTCTAAGAATAGAAAATGGGAATTCCTAATTTGGCAATTGATTTTTTCTAACAAAAATTTTATTATTATACCATCACACACAAGTAAGTAAAGCCAAGGGTAGAAGGTGTTGTTTTTTTTATTTCTCCCTAAGTTTTATTTTACAATTTCTATGAAATAATTATTAGATAGTTATTGGTTTCTATAATGTTCCACCTTTCTAACCTCAAAAGTGCTAATTCATTAAGCCACTTTTTGATAACATTTTTTAATTTCATCATATATAGTGCATATGGAGTTGTATACTTTATTTTAAAAGTCCTTCTTCAATAGAGTTGTTGCTCTGAAATAATAGATTGACTAAAACTTTGAACTGCTCTAGAAAATTTGTCATACAAAGAAGTGAATTGCATGCTTTTGTACATACACGTAAAATTTGTCTGCTAAAGAAAGAGAGATGATACAGAACCAGATGATAAGATTTTGACAGAATAAGAAAAAGTCAGAGTGTAAAGGTAGCAGAAATAGATATTGAACTGTGAATTGATGAAAACCCCCAGGATAATCTCAATAAAAGGTGAGACATATGCTAGTAATTTGGACTACAGATATAATCACTGAAATTTAGTGAGGGGAGATATTTGCATTCCATCCCTCTACAAGTGTTTTACATTTTTTTGAAGACATTTAAAAATTCCAACCATTTCAGGAGTCTGGAAATGTACTTCGAATGACAGAACTGAATTGATATAGTTAAAAAAAACAAACAAAAAACAACCCAAACAAACAATAATCTACCAAAAACCCCTAATGTAACCAAGGACCTGCAGTCAAGAAAACAATAAGAAAAGTCATGTAGTCAAATATTTATCCCCCTGTCTCCAAGAGGTATTAACAACTCCCTGTTCTTTTACCTACCTTGGAATATAGTAGTAGATGTTATTGAGAGAGATAGATGGCTTTTCTTCAGATAGAAAATTACTTTCATTTGTATTTGGGGGCCTTTCCAGACTGCAAATCCCAAACAGATTAACAGGGCATCCAGAGAGATTTATTCATGTTCAATCAGAGGATTAACCAATGCCCACATGATTAGAATAGTGTTCCACAGCTACTTCCTAATGTCTGGATGAGTGAATCTGGTCCAAAAGAGGTGACAGACCACAAGGTCAGTAGAGTGCAAAGACCTAGCCACTCGATTGCTATTTAAAGGATATATACAAAACCAGAGTTGTTAATATACAAAAATTGTCCTGAGTTTGGGAAAAGGATGACCAAATTCACACCTAAAGTGTATTTTTTCTCCAAAACCAGAGAATTATAAATATTTCCTTTCAGTGCAACTTAAGTTAAGTTAGTACAATATTTCTATTTTTAATGAAAGTACATTCTGCTCAGTGTTACCTCAAAAGCAGATTGAAGCAGTCAAGGTAGACAACAACCTGGTCTGTAACAAACAGTTCCAGGTAATATCATATGTTACAGAAAATATCAGACCTGGTCAGAGCCACAAGGTTTTTAATTCTCTTGTTTTTATGCATTCAAAACCTGGATATTTAAGCATAACCTTGACCTTCATGATGCTTGTGTTCTGTTCATAATGTATTCACTGATATAGCTCAAAACAGACTTCTACTTATTGTCAGCCACTGATGATCTCCCAGAGACTCAAATCTTTCTTTGCAGAAAAACAAATGCTTTTGTTTAGATAGGACTTTCAATTGTGTGGTTTATTAGCTTTTCTTCCCCCTAACACGGATGGTGAAACTTCTAAAAAATATGAAAATCTTTCTACCTTTAAATGACAGTGAAAATAATCTTGCATTATTTAACACACAGAAATTCTGCATGGTTTAACAAAAATCAATTCATTGCAGTTCAGTATGTCCTCAATTTTCGCTATTTTATCAATTGAATTTACTGTATTACTTAAAATTCAGGTACCTACGTCTTAACTCATTAGAACAAATTTTTAGACTCACAAAGGACTTTTAAATTCTTGATAAATACTTCTTTTTTCAACCTGTAAACAGAACAGGTTAAGTAAGCAACAAGTGCAAAATAAAACCTGGTCGCTGATACCTTGTATTTAAAACTAGCAGCTGCTAATGGGATATGAATATAATCTACCAGTTTTAAGAGGTCCGAATACCCGGAGCCCTGTCCTTGGCTGTCGCTGCAGTTGTCCCCCGGCAGTGTCGCTCTCTGTCCGGGCCTCCCGGGGGCTCTTGCTGATGACCAAAATCTTTGAGCTCCCTCTGCTGCCTCGGCTGTGCATAACAGAGTAAACAGGCAGAAAAACAAGGGGTTAAAAACAACCCTCGTCGCTTGCACAGTAGCCCGGTGCCAATTTCACATCGCTGTGCTGAACAGCTCTCAGTAAGGACCAGGAGTGTGGCAGTGTGTGTCTCTCGGGAAAGCACACTCTTTAAACCATCTCCACCTGCTCCAACAGCTCAGGAGAGGCAGACAAACCAAACAAGTAGCATAATTTGGCTTACAGTTTGTCAACACTGTAAATTGATTCTTTCCCTTCCCTTCCCTTCCCTTCCCTTCCCTTCCCTTCC